GGTTATCAAAACTAGTTACTTGTAGCATGCAAGCAACATGCAACATGGCGGCATCCTTGTACATTCTTCGAGAGTTAATGTTTGAGCTTACTTCTTTTCCATTAAAATAAATCATATCTGTCATGGAAAATCATTGATGTTAATTGTGCAAAACTTTCCATTGTCTCCAGTTTTGTAAGCCATTTCGATAGTTTTGCAGCTTTTCGAAAATAAAATCTAACGAGTTTTCCTGTGTGTTTGTGTAAAATCCTGACGAGGAGGTGGAGTGTGAACCTGTTGTGATAACAGTATTCTTGGGTCATGTTTCCGCCGTTCAAGCGCGAGAATGCGAAACCCCGTGTCAAGAACAGGCCGCCCGAACTCGACCTTTGACTGTGCAAGAGGACGGGCATTGCAGTCAATGCACTGGGATATCACAGCAATGGCCACCCATGGCCGGCATAACGATCAAGGCTTGCCTACATTCACAATGAAAACAATCACACTAAAGGCATGCAGGAATAAATATCATATTCCCTGTCCGTATGTGGATGACTCTTTGTGGATAAAGAGTGTTTCATTCCAAGAATATTTTCCATACAAGATATCGCTGCTAATACTCTGTAGAATTAGGAAATCGTTTGATTGTATCGGTGTGTCAACATACATGCACAAACTTGGTACATGCACCTTCATAAACCTGGGCCTGTGGGGGCAGGATTTTGGGAAACAAGATGAGTAATAGAAGTGTGAAATGGCCCCAGGGGAAATACCTTTCTAATGCTACACAAAGTTCACTGATGAAGTTCACTTCCTGTCTTGTACAATACTTTTTTCACCTCTAAAAAAACTGTTTATTTAATGATTAATCCTAAACCCCAGTAGCATTTTACAAGGGAAGTCACCTAAACTTAGTAAAATCCCAATAAACCGCTTTTCTGTGAGTTGCTTTACTTGACACCTTTTGTAAAGAATGAACAAGGTTAAAACAGATACATGTACCTGAGGAACAGCAATTTCAACACACAATCAACACAAGGTAGGCTTGGCATCGGCTCAATCTCAATAGCATCTTTCCTGAAAGAGATTAACTGACTCAAACACACCATGGCTCACCTGTGAACTCAGGGTTCAATAGGTCACGGCGGTTGGCTAGTAGGACATTGCTGAATATCAGATCAAGGCAGCACAGCAGCAAGTGATATGAATTGACTAGGTCATCACTGATGGCTGGAAAATTGCCTGCAGGAATGTAAAAGAAAATGAAATGCACAATGAAATCAAAACAAAAACCTCTTGAAAGTTCTTTATGGATACAAAATCTGTGTTGAACTTTTCTTTTTAAATGTTCTCATTTTTTGAAGTTTCATTTTACAATTACACAATTATCATTAAAACAAGGCCTTAGTTTAGAAGTGGTAGCATTTTTCCTTCCAAGTAAAGCTGAAAATATTCTGCATGTGACCAACAAATGATAAATGAAGAAAATGGCAACAGACTACAATAAGGCAAAAAAACACTTCTGCTCCTGGTTACCTGACCAACCCTAACTTTTCAGCACGACCCTAAAATTTTTATCGGCAAGTTAGAGAAACAAATTTTTACCATTTCAAAATTAAAAACATCAATCCTGATGTCTTTTCTGTCTTCACAAAACACCTTTCAACAACCCTTTCTCACGTTAAAACATTTTTGTTTTCCCACTCACATTTGCAACTTTTGAAAAGAAACTTCCGTTATTTTCATGAGTTCCCTTCACATTTTGCTGTCGCAGTGGTGAAAACACATGCGTAAGCTCAATGCATTAAAGCAAGGCTTTGCTGGTTCCCACCCTGCTGTGCCCATGCAAAGAACGCGCCATCCCGGTCGATTACACTACATCGGCCATACAAGCACGCACCTAGTATACATGTAGGTGCAGGTCAACCAAAAAAAATCGATGTTGCAAGAGGATTTCTGCAAGTTAATTCACAGAATTTAAGCCATGTCCAAAACGGGCTTCCTGAGCTACGGCTAGGTCTATTGTCTACGCGTCTCCACGCATTTTCATTGGAGTGAAACCTAGACCTAGACAAGAGATTCGGATGCAGCCTTAGTCTCTTGTCTATGCATGTATGTACGGATATAGTAGGCCACTTTGCCGTTGTGATTACCTGACTAGCATTGTGTGGATTGTCCATAGTTCTTGTGGATTATCAACTGTAGAAATTTTTTACATAGATTAAGACACGTTTTTATCACTTTTATCAGACAATTTTGGAAGCTTTCGTCCACATTCATGCTATAATATCAGCACCAAAAATTAACACCCCCCCAATTTTCAAACCTACCAACCTACCCTATTTTTGAGAAGCATGTAATTGGAAGCAGAACTATTTTTTTTCGCCTTACTACATGTACTAGTACATAAGCCAATCACTCATTTATTAAGTAGCTATTCATGTAAATTTTGTACATTTCTAACTGCCCCTTTTTTTATCCATCAAGCAACCCTCTATCATGCGTCTATAGAAGTTTTTCAGTCACATGATTTTTGAAGGTCAGCGTTCAACATACACAGATGTGTGTGAAACTACGTGTGTCTTCGAAGTCTCTCAGCCTTCTGGCATACATGAAATTGTCAACTGAGAGATGCAGATTTGAAAATGCACACACCACTGCAGCCTTGGAATGCTTCTTGAACTGTCTTTGTTGGTCAAGTGACGTCACGTGAAAAACCTCTATAACGGGGATAACAAAGGTGTAGTGAGGCAAGACATCTTGACCTGTGTTGACACAGTTCATGGGATTAACAACCATGTAGATGTGCATCTCTAAGAGAACTCAATTCAAGAACCTTTGTAGGCTATCTCACACCTACTGTAATGAATCTGGGTCAGAACCCAAGAACATTAGTCTGAAGTTTGTCCGGCAGCTTCAGTGTTCCAGTCTTTCCAATGCAGTCTTTTGAACATATATGCATACAAAACATCTGATTTCTGTATAATAAACTTAACAATCTTATGTGTAAAAGGTTGAACGTTAGGAACATGCAGTTTGTACAAATGAATCCAAGATAAGATGTACATGTACATCCCACACTTAATTTACTGAAATACATAGTTTATTGTTGCCTTCTTTTAAAAAATAATTTATGTGATGGTGCTAGCTACATGTCAATTTAAAGATAAGAATTTATAATCATCCTTACCAACAGCATATTTTTATATTCCAAATTTATGTGCATGTAACCAGTTCACTGTCATGTGTGCTACAGAGCAAAACCCAATCTCTCCTTTGAAATTCTATCCTTGTTTATTGACCCCTAGGATAAAAGTTCTGGGCAAGTTGGGGCATGCCAGTTACCCTAAGAAAGTCACAAACATCATTAGCATATCAATAGTCTGGCATACAAAAGGCTATTCAACACACAGACCTCTGATCCTTTACATGTACATCAAGTGCAAAGCACATGACAAGACTGACAAGCTTGGCTTCCAGATAAACTCAGGCTGATGAGCTTGGGTCAATAACATTAATAATTCATCAGTGTGTGCTGGTCAGGCACAGCATACTAAAACATATATTAAGTCAGACAGCAAGCCCTTTACAAGTGTGAAAAATATCAACAGAAAATCTCATATAGTAAAAATGTATTGAAAAGATCATTCTCAAGGTACACGTAGAAGTATATAAAAATAAAAAAAACCCAAAGTCTTCTTTTTTCATCAAATGTCCATGCAGCTGTGAATGCTAAATATTCCAACCAAAATGTGAAAACAAGCAGCTACGTATAAATCCCAGTCAGTTTAAGAAGCATACATTTATGGAAGAAATGATTAAACAGTGAACTCGCACAAGTCCAAACACTGCCTCAATTACCTGTCACCTATGGAGTCATGCTCACCACGGGCATTTTGATACTGGTATTTGAGATACTAAACATGCATGTCAGTGTTACTAATAGGGAACTACATGTACATTGTATTGTCTTATCAAGTATAAAGTGACAAACAGTGGATAGGGCCTACCTTTCACAAAAATATAGTACTGTTACATTGTAATTGCAGCCTTTTACACCTAAAAAAAAATGCTTGGACTCAAAGATAAAACATTCCACTCAACACAGCTTTCAAAATAAGGTGTTCCTTGGGGCTTACAAAACTGTCAATGTTCAAGTGCCGTTGTGTGGCTTTATAAGAACTATTAATGCGAAAAAAATGGAGAATAACTAACCTTTGACAAGAATGAACAACGTCCAACAGAAAGAAAACAGGTCTGAGTAAGAGCACGGTTGTCTCCTGCAAGGTACATCAATCACAAGGTTAGTGGGCCATTCACTTTTTGAAGAAATTGTAGAGAAACTGGGGTTCACTCTGCAGTGAAAACTACATCTTGCAAGAAGTTGTAACCATTCATGTAATTACTACAAAAGCTGTCATAGAAAACCAAATACGGCTACCATTTTACTTACACTATGTACTGAAAGAAATGAAGGTGTCTCTTCAGAGTATGTTTGCACAAGGAGATATTGCTAATGGTTACATATAAGTAGTCAAAAGGTAATGAATGACACCAGTCTGTCATAGATTTACCGAGGGTGCATGTTAGAAATTCAACTTCACTGAGACTTACGTGTGCACAGCATGAAGTTTACATTAATCTGCTCCAGTAGGACCCACAGCCAAATAAAAACCGGCAATTAAAACCTGTCCACTCATACACTAACATGAAGTTCGATCTACAACTAGAAACTTTTATCTTACACAATTTGGAAACAAAATAGTTCTGCAATCATCAATTACGAGATCAATGACTCAACTTCACTTGTGTTCACAATGCAGTTTTTAAGCCAGAAATGTCAAACCTGCACACCAGTGAAAAGTTACTGAAATGTTTTTGACTGCAGGGGGTAGGCTTCAAGCTTTTCAAGGTGAATTCTCATGACAGTGACCCAACTGTAAATTTCACAATATGTAATTGCTTGTCCACTTGACAGAGCAAATCAGAATTCTTGCAAAGTTTAGTATCTATGCCAGATGATTTTATTTTTAGCAATACTTCTGACCTACAACTGTTACCTTTGTTTGCGACCTCTTGGCATCCGAGGCTGTTCACTAGACATGTCTTTGAATATGAATAGGTCTTGAAATATGGGCTGGTACTTCTTGAAAATTACAGTTGAAACATTGAAGTTACGCTCTAAGCGTTCAACTTTGTCACGAAATTGCTGGGGCAGGTTGGCCATGTCTTCCCACTTCTTCATCTTGTTAAAAAACTGGATCACACTGCAATATGAACAAGCTCAAGATTTTAAAATTCTGGACAAAAAAACTATGAGGCCACATTCTATTCTCCATTATCAAGTTCAAAATTAATCTTGGAGAAATCCCATTCTATTAATCCAAATGTTTTTGAAAGTTGTGCTGATATACGATCAAAATTAGAGCTTTTCCCAAAGCAAATGTATGCTCTTTTCAATCCTTGAAAGAAATACTGATTTTATTTTATAGAGCGTCAGTCAGCTGTCCTCAATCTAATCACTGTTAAGTCTTGCAAATCTGGAGGATTTTAATCGGTATGATTAAACATTTACAGCGTGTTCCCACTTGAATTGGGAAAAGGTCGATCTTGATCCAGCATTTTGGTGTGATCGTTATCTTACCGCAACGAAACCGAAAGTCGCGTTCCCACTAGCGCTTGATCCACCTTTTTGGACGGAAATGTCGAGCCCGAAAGGTCACTGAGTTCGGTGTTGCGCATGTGCTAGCTTGCTGATCGTGCGCTTGTGGCAGTGTTGCATGTGGGGCGGCATGCGTGTGACCCTGCAGTGTTTTGGGTGCAGAGTTCTACTGACATGACGACCTTGAACCGGACCGAATGTTCAGCCTAGTACATTGTCTCTTCAAACTTTGCTTCCGTTTTTGATACTCTGTCACATGCTGCAGGCTATACGCTAACACAGAATTACTTTTTGAAGGAAAGCAATTGAAATTACACGAATGAAAAAGGTTAAGAAATGGACAAATGCGCAACGAAAATAGTGAAAGGGCAAGGTACAAATCGCGGCATGCGTGCATTGCGCATGCGTGGTGACACATTTTGCTAGCCCGTAGTTCAGCAGTTGCTTATTTTGGATGCTGTGCACGTTAAGAAGTTCGCATGAGCTACAGGGCAAAATACGTATTTCTTTGTTCATCAGACTGCAAATGTTTCGCGCCACTCGTGCACGGACGGATGTTGACAGGTCAAATTGCCGGATCAAGTGGGAATGGGCTGTTACAGTTCAGCTACCTGTGCTGCATCCTTGCTTAACACATTACTGGAAGATCTTGGCTAATAAAGGTACATGTATTGAGAGGGCAGCATGTCACAGCTCAAAGCTACTGGTACTATGACATCAAAGAAGACATTACTTCCCTCAGAAACAAATATTGGTTCTTGTCTTACATATCTTACTCTGTCTAGTCAAAACCTATACTGAAACATCTCATCTTACCTCAGTCTTGAAGATCTTAAAAGTCGAGTCAGTGAAACACAGTTTCCCTCGACTGTACCATTTCCAACTGTAGGAACAGTAGATCTCCGACAGGCCACATAAAGGGCACACACAAGCCAGTGAAGATCATCCCCCTGGGTGATCAAACAACAAAACAGTAAACATCAAGTTCAAGAATGGAAACCAGAAAATGTGTCACTGAAAATGTTCAAGCTGTATAGCAAGTTAAAAATTGTAAAGCAAGGTCAAAATGCAGATTTCTGAAAACAAGTTTATGAACGACGCTTGCATAGTACGCACATGGGCCAATGAAACAGCTTAATAGCACACTACTCACACTATAAGTGCAATTGATGTAACTGTACATATATGTGTCTGTATATATGGAAAACGGACATTGCTGTTTATGGTAATACACATTGAGGCCCATGACAAGTACATGTACATGTACATGTATGTGTATGCGACTGGTATCCTATCCAACTACTGTGCAGGCAGGTGATACGCTGTAACATTGTTTACACATTAGGTTCATTAAAATACAGAAAGACAAAGGGACTGAGTGAACCAGAGCTCATGTGTTCTATTGTATACGTATTCAGTAAACAATTTCCATGTTCCTATATCTTTATGGCCTTGGCTCTGCCATTGGCATTTCACTGTACTTGCTCCATTGCATTTTTGCTTTGCTTTGCTACAGTGGGAACACAGGAATGTGGATAGCGACCTAACTTGAGTTTGCCAAAAATCAATGCTCAACAGTTATTTTACATGCTTAAATTTCGCAAACAATCGTTTGACATCATGATAATTGTACGTGGTATTCATGTGCTTTGTACAAGTGTATAAATTGTCAGGTGTGAGCGATTATGTAGTGGAATCAGTCAATCCAGTTTGAAATCTCTAACTTTACGCCTACTTCCCTTATTCAAACAATCTTCCAGCACTGCAAATAAACCTACATGTACTAAACGTTCGTAATGCATTATGGGGTTTGGATGACAAACAAGCCTGCATTTTATGCACCTATGGGGGAAGTGACCAGTCAAAAAATGAATTTTCTTCACAATATTTGTACCTATTGAAGTCACAGGTGTACGTGTATGCATAGAGGGTCCTACACGTATAAGTAATAAAGTATACATCAAGATAAAGACATATTGTACATTTGCAAAAGCTTGCAATAAAAAAATCATCTTTCATTTAGGTTGGTTCATGGGGGTCTACTTCAGGAAGATGTGAAAGCAAAGTGAATTTGACTTCACAAAAGATTTGCATCAAAATTTCAATGTGTTTAACTTTTGCAAATTCGCAGCATAAATATTTGATGACATCACAAATTTGCATTTCCGTTCACTCCAAACAGAGGCTGAAAATGAACGTGATTGGTCAATGTGGGACGATTGAGCTACAAGTCATAATTCTGATTGGCCAATACTGCACTGTACTAGATCATTAATGATCACTAAGTCTACTGAGGCTCATGGTCCAACACAGACAGCAGTATCTTTGGTAGGCATTTTCCGAGTGTTTTGTAGTAAGTTTCCTCATTCAAAGTTTGTGAATATGGTTATCCAAAATAAGTAAGTCCTACATGTATAATGACAATACAACACTGCATGACACATGTGAGAATGGTGAGAAGATGGCTTGAATTGGAGTAGCCTAATAAAATATGTAGGAAACATACATGATATAGGGCCTAGCCCTAGGGAAAAGAGTTCCGTATATGGATGTCACTTGACACCCCATGCAAGCCATGCACAAACCTTACGTGACTGGTCCATCTTCTAAGTAAATGACTTGGTTTTTTTCCCTCCTAAATTGAACTTTTTCTGGAAATGTTTTTTGCTTTCTGAAGGCTAATATTAGGGCACTGTAAGGAATAACAAGTACAGGTGTCTGGATTATGAAACTCTTTCCGGCGGAGGCCTAAATGTCACATTAACCCTAACCCTTCTCTATCCTTCACCTGTTGGAGGATTGAGGAGGGTTAGGGTTAATTAATTAGGGGCTTAGGCCAGAATATTTTGCAGGTACACTTCTGCCACTGGGATGTTCATAAAACATTGTAAAATGTAGACCTCAGCCTAAATGCTATGCATTGTGAGCATTGAAAAGGTTTAGGCCTAGGCCTCCCCCAGGCCCTGGGCCGACATAAAGTAAGGCCTAGTTGGAAACATTAGAATGAAAAGGAAAAAAAATGCGATAGGCTAGGCAACGATGGAATAGGTTATAATATGGGATCAGGTCAACTCGGACCCAAACCAACTCGGACCTATTCCAACTCGGACCCATGCCAACTCAGACCCAGGACCAACTCGGACCCACCTCGAGTTAACTCGGACCCACTGGGGATAACACCATGAGACACTGTAAAAGGTCAATGTTCGTGATATTGATGTATATCTGCAGCATGTGTTGTATGCATGCAGCATCTCTTATGTACATCAGAGGGGCCTATCTGTGGCTTTTTATTGCCACCAAAATTTTGGGGGCTGTTTGGTGAAAGTTCATTCGATTTCTTCTGGTGATCTGGAGTGCCAAAAACACTTCGTAGAAAGGGCGTCAATGATTTGGTACTGTCAATCACACTCCAAAAGCTGCTCCCATTGGTTGTCCCGAGCTCCCACTCCCCGATCATAGGGTTTCAAGAATGGAAGGTGACAAAATCAGTCTTTGTGGTCAATCACGTCGGTACCACGGAAGCTAATAACCAGTTAAGATTCAAATCAAATCTAGTCCTGTACGGTTTTCAACCACCATGCCTGTTCAAACTTGAAAACTGAGAAATTCTGGGAAGCCTGTGCCACTGTTTCCCTGCATTACGTGTAGAGAGGGCATTACATGCAGTGCAAAAGTGTCCTTTACCAAATGCTTAAATGTAAAAGTGGACAAAATCAAAATTTTCAACAATTTTATCACGCTCCTGGGGTTGGGTCCGAGTTGACTCAGGGTGGGTCTGAGTTGGTCGTTGGTCCGAGTTAGTACTATTGGGTCCGTGTTGGTCGTGGGTCCGGGTTAGTATTAGGTCCAAGTTGGCATGGGTCCGAGTTGGTCGTGGGTCCGAGTTGGCATGGGTCCGAGTTGGTTTGGGTCCGAGTTGACTCGAAACCTATAATATTAGGAGGACCTACAAATACATGCAGGCAGCTACATGTAGCTATTACTAGTATTACTATTAGCCTAGGCCCCTAGCCCTATTCCTCTTTTTCGATTTTGGACAGGATCAGACTAGGTTATATCATCTTTTTATCCATCATTATTCATCATTATTATACTTTTAGAGACCTTGAGGAATAAGTAAGTTACGGATGTAAACTGAACTAAAGTACCAGTCCGGAATATTGGCAGGCAGGCAGTAAGCCCTGCGAGTTCAATCATGTCAATAGCCTACATCGTAAACAACATCGTGTAAGTTGTACACCCAACATGCCAACTTTCCTTCCGTCTGTAACTTACCTCAAGCGTATAGTTAATGCTTATTCTCTCGTACGTATCCCACGCTTCTCTACCAGACAAATCGTCAAGATTAAGACCAAGGCAAAGTTCCTCAAAACGTTGTTTTATATCAACTTCTTCGCTCTTCGGTGCCGCCATTTTCGATTTAAATCCCACTTCGCACGCGCATGCACGTACACACACAGGGCATTCAGTACATTGCGTATACGTGCTGCTCACATGATCAATCACGCACAGTACAGTGTACATGTACACTGTATACGCAACCTCACCGCGCGAAGGCCCTGTGTGCCTCACGCAGAAGCCGAAAATGGCGGGAAATCCACATCACTCCTTCAAACTTTATTCATGGGCACTAAAATAGTCCAATTGTTTTCACTCAAAGATGTCTATGACTGAAATTAAATTTAATTATTGGTACAGGGTGCCTTAAATCAAATCTTTTGAAATCTTTGTATATTACAATATTGTTACATTTAAGTGGATGGCTATATAATCCGGAACACAAACTGTGCGGAATAATACAGATGAAAAAATAGACGACGCAGTTACTTTGTCGGTCTGTGGGCGGAGACAACTGCGCTGTGAATTGAACCATAACCGAACGACTGCTAACGGCTTGCACTTCCGGGTTGTAGACGTCTAGCCCTTGAAAACAGAAATTGAGTTCCTACGTTCAATATTAGTTTTTTATTTGTTATTTTTACTCGGCACTAGAAAAGTAGAAATGTTGGGGATCGGGTGAGCTAAAGTATATTTTTAAGTTGTCGATGATTAAGAGTAGACATGGAGTGGGGGGGAAGGGAGTCACGTTGGAAACGTCAAACGGTACATGTAGTCAGTTGTTGATAGGTGTGTGCCCCTTCCCCCTACAACCTCTAGCTCTTAGAAATGAGTTTGTGATACAACTACATGGAATTATAAAAATTCCATGATAAAAGGTCACATGCTCGACCTTCTGAGGGTTCCTTACTCTATTATTGAAGCTCTGTTGGCTTAGTCAACGGTATCCACGCTTAGCTGAAGTGCATCCTCACCGGCGAAAGAAAGACAGATAGTACAAAGTTTTCCAACCTGGTTCTAGCACGCGTTCGATGTGCACGCGGAGATCACATTCTAGACTAAAGAAATGTGGAAGGGCTGCGTAGCACCCTGATTTGAATATCCACAAGAATATAATATCGAATTAGTGCTCTGAAATATGTGATTGCCGAGCTTTCGGTAACTGAGTACCTTCTTCAGGGCAAGCAGGACTGTCAAAATTCCTTTCAAAATACACCCTCTTTTGTTCCTGCTCGGAGCGGATACCATTCCAATTAATGAAGCCTGAGGGTCAAATTTGGCCACGTGTACGCTCCGCTGACACTTCATCTTGAAACTGGACTAGTCTCCGTCCCTATTACATATAGGGACCGGTAGCTAGCCGATAAGCCCTGTCAATTTAGATGCTGAATATTTAAATTTTTGTCTGGTCACTGGCAATGCTTTGACCGAGATTACGCTCGAGCACTAAGCCAGTAATACGCAAGTACTTATCCTTGTTCATTCTCTGTTGTCAGTTCACAGTGTGGTAATTTAGTTTTCATCGATAAATTATTTTACAGCAATTTATTTCAAATCTGTGGTTTGTAAATTTAAGATACATAAACAATTCATAGTGAAATTTTTTTGGTAATTAAGAAGAAAAGGCGAAACGTTTTATCAGCTCCTTCTTAATTTGCGCATCATTCGGCGGGCTTCATGTTTCACTACCCGCTACTGGTCCCTAACTTCGGGGACCGTCTTATAAGACGTCTGGAGACTAGGTATGGGACGGGAAACAGTCCAACTTAACAATTTGAACAAGTAAACGTGGGAAGTACGGTGGCGGCCTTATAGGTCCAACCCACTAATTCAAGCCCTAATGAAAACATCGTAAAATCAGCACATTTGTTCAGTTCCCAATAACATGCATACCAATATCCCTCGGGTTTCTGAAACACAAATCAAATTATTGTCTGGTCCATAATTTGTCAGTTTCCTTTCAAATCATAGTGGGTTAACTGACTGATTTTTTAATATACACAGAAAACAAAATCATCCCCCTTATGTTATTTTTTCTGAAGTCTGCTTACAGCAATTTTTCAAGTGGGAACCCTCAACTTTATCGACCACTTGGGACCATTTTCAGCTGCATTTTTAGCCCTTCTGCTCTCAGGCGGAAGCCCAACTTGAAATTTGATTCTGTCAAAAATATACACAATCTCACCATTTTGGAGGCAAACATATCCTTTTTCAATAGGTACTGCCTGGGCATTCTTCATGCTAATGAGCTGGCCAGAAAATCTCATAAGATGTAGACTGCACTTTATAAAAGTCCAGATCGATCATGGATGATGGTGCGCGGAGCCAGCTGTTGTCAAAGTTCGATGACCTTGAAAGCCATTCAGGCAGTCACTTAGATTTCTGAATGCTTCAAGGTTTTAGACGAGTTTTGGTATCAAAATTTTTCTCCAGAAAAGAACTAAATTGAAAGGTTTATTTTGTTTAGTTTGGGAAGTATTTTTCAGGAGGAATCTGAGGCCGCGCGGCATCTAGCGTAGGGGCAAAGCACTTGGCAGCACTGAGCAAACCACTCGACGGTGGAGGGGGTCATTCCGAGGTATTTTTAACAAACTGGAGATACCTGTTCCCTCCTTTTCATCCTCTTCTTTTACCCTCAATTTTACCCATGTATTTTCGGTCATTTTTTTTACCGGGGATAAGGCGCTACGCCCCTTTGCCCTCTCGCCCCTTTCTTATGGCTACGCTGTAGCAAATTCCTTTCTCCATGTGCCGTCCGGCATAGCGTCCAGCATGGCACTGGGAGAAACATACCATAACGAATTTATAATTATAATGTTTTATGCTACGGTTTTGTCTTCCCATATCAAACTGCTCATCTGAAATGTTCATGATAGTCACAACACTTGAATATACCGCGGAGCGAGACTTTTGAAGCCAATCACGTCTAATGCTCTGACTGGAACCACTGAGACAGCTGCAGTCTAAGCCGAATCCACTCGTTTATAATAGTGTTGCAGGTTCGCAGTCGAAACGGGCAAGTAATCAAAGGGCAGTCACACAGATCTATATTTCACAGCTGGTTTAATTCCGGGCTCAGATCCGAATAGTCCAAGGTCAGAACATGAACTCTCTATCTACAGTCTAGCTTGGCTATTTATACACGTTGGGCTTGTTTTTTCTTTTTTTTTTAGAGAATTAAGAACAAAACATTCCATCATAACATTTACTAATAAATCACATAAGGTAGAACAAAACAGCGTGCAGCGTAGCGAACATTAATGTCTCACGCTCCACCGCAACCAAGCGCGACCAAGCAAGCAAGTGCGCGCTGTTTACGTGTAGTTCTGACAGCGCGCACGCGAGGTAACTCAACTGTGCACTGTCAATGCACTCTGAAGACGCGACGTGAGCGAACTAATAATCGCACAGCGCTCTGTCAGGTAATAATACCAGAAACAACCAATAATCAGTAACTAATAATCGATCAACAGTTCATGTTGAGTAATTTCACAACAATAGATTTTTTCCCATTGAAAACGCGTATAGTGCACCCGTAGAGTACCGAAGTGTGACACGGCATTTAGAACCAGTAGATGCTGTACGGAGAACACGCGCAGGTACTCTCGCTTAATTAAGCGTTTTACACACAGAAGTGTGCGTGTGACACATTCACTCTATAGGGTGCGTTCGATTAGCTTACACGTGTAAGTCAAACTTACACCAGAGCGTTCGTTTAGCCATCACGTGATCCTTGTGCCTGCCCTGGTGTCAGCCACTACTACCCCAGCTGGCGAGCGGGTCTCTGGAGGCTGCTCGAGTGTAATGACGTCACGGATGGACTGTTAAAGCATGGACGTACATGATGGAACGTGGCGGGGACTTGACCTTTTTCCCAGAATGCCATGGAAAACACACTGCAGCGTTCGACAAGCCTCATTTTGAGGCTTACCTTGAGTGTAACACTGGTGTGTTCAGGGAAGCTAATCGAACGCACCCATAGAATACCGAAGTGTGACGTCACTGTGAACCAGAAAGTGCAGTGTAAACGAATGGAGTACGTGTGCGTGTTGGTTCACGCGCTGGTTCTCGCGCTAATGCCCTTTACACACTAATTGTGCGCGTGGCGTATTCACTTCGGTACTCTATACACGTGTGTACGCTCGCGCAGCAAATCTTTGCAGCGCGTGTATTATGTGCGCCTAGTTCTCTGGTTTGAATTTTCATAACGCTTTGGGCGCACACACATACTGTTTGTTCTTGCGCATCCTGTCGGATATTCGAATCGACCATCATGAGTTGTTCTAATTCTTCCAGCCTTTGTGCCACTTCGTGTCCAATAAACTCGAACACCTTCCCTGGAAAGTTGTGGAAGCTGGTGAATGGAGGACGATTCCAGTCCATCGGTTGGAGCAATGGTGGAAGCTGTATAGCAATAAACGGCACAACCTTCAAAAATGAGGTTCTCTACAATGATGAATTCAGTGTCTTCAAAACACAGAACTTTTCTAGTTTTGTGCGACAACTCAATCTGTATGGTTTCCGCAAACTTGCTGCCGTTTCCTCGAAGGACAGCATGTCAGGGGAGGACATTCATCACTTTCAGAATCCCTACTTTAACCGCAACCGACCAGAACTGTTGGGCCACGTTCGTCGGGCCAGTAGTCGCCGTCGAGGCAACAGTGAGAACTCTGAGAGCTCTTACTTTACGACCACTCCTTATCGCTTTAGCTCAGCCTGTTCTTCTACGGGCTATCCACAGACGTTGTTCCACCATCAGGGACTCACGTATGCTCCAGTCAAGCATCATATCCCACACACCAGACCTCTCCAAGATATCAATCGCTTCAGCCCGTATGTCCGACCGCACTCCTACGGCTTTGGTCCAGGGCAAGAATGTTATGGCCGGACATGGGAGGCTGGTGGAAGTGTACAGGGGCTTACATTAATTGCAAACACGGTGAGCGGCTCACTCACAGCTACTTGCCCATCACAACCTAAACTAGTCGACTTTCCCTCCCTGTACAACCAAGAAGGACAGCTGAGAAAATTTGTTGTGATACAGGATGACTTTGGCCAAGTGTTTCGAAGGTCAAATCATGGTGAGTTTGATAAAATAAACGGAGCTGACTGCCATAAGTCATGTAGCCTACATGTACGTAGTACTTGTTTTAATATTTATGCTCAGGAGTTTTGATATCTGGAAATTAATAATGAATATTTCAAGATGGACCCGGGTATTGCAGCATTTCCTGTTGAAAGCTGTATTATCCTTAACGTAGGGTGCTGTTAAACCGATTTTTTTTGTCTGAAATGATCAATGATTAGACCAATCGTTGAAGGATGTAACGTCTTCCCAAGCCTTTGCAAACTGCAAGAAATAATATTGTTTGGGTTTTGAAAAAACGGGTAAATTCTAAAACGTTCCGTCCCACAGATAGCCATTCTCTGCCAGGAAGAAATGGACTCCTCTTGTCCCACAGCTGTGACCCTATGATGTGTGCTGTGGCGCAGCCTAGTCCGCCTCACCAGGCACTACCTCAGACATTCATCGTCTCTCCTCCTTCTGAACATCAATCCCAAAGGCCGACACAGAAACCCACTCACCAGGTAATCCAGTCTCCCGTCAAATCACCTTCAAAAGTATATACCGAGCTCTCATCTGTGACGTCTGCCAAGGCACCAACGTGTGACTCCTATCAGGTATGGACCTTAAATTTCTCTGTTTTGTGAATAAGGCCGTTTTCCAATACTTAACTTTGTCTCTGTCTGAGGCTTCGTCCCCGAAACCAACCCCCGATTGTGGGCCTGAAGCGTTTAAATCAAATTGGATTACTGTAACTTTTTGCTCTTTTGGATCTTATTTGATGTTTTGTGGCATTATTAGACCAATTAGTGCGCTTTCAGCTTCAAAGTCAGGTAGTAAAAAACAGTTGAAGCCTGAGAGGGAGCCGAAGTTGAGTATTGGAAAACGGCCTTAGTGACGCCCTTTATCCGGTTCGTATGTGTACGTCAATTCAGTTTAAACCACGCCCACTGCACATGCACCGCGCATAAGGGTGCATTCCACGAAATGGTTGTATTTCTGCGTGCGAGCTCATTGATATTTTGTGATTCCACAGGTTTTTTACAATAGGATATGCCATAATCAGGAGGCTTCATAGAAATATTTTTATAAATTCCGAATTTGGGCCTGATAGTTTCCAGTTCGGGGTATTTCTTTCACAAAAAGCAGCAAATTGCGGGCCTATTTTGGATAGAGGCGGGTGGCTAGATTCAGAAATTAGCGCTTATAGTTTTACTGCTGTTTTGGGGGTATCTTCTTTGAAAGGTGGATTAAAAAAAGATTTTCATGGCTGACCCAAATGAAATTGAAACGAAAAGTGATGTTCTGGCCATAATCTTGAATTTCCAGTAAAAAAACGGAGGCAACCTCTTCACGAGAGTCAATAGGCGGCACTATTTCGGTCCGATTTTGCGCTGTTTTCTATGTGCGCGTATTTGGTGTAGTGCAACCATAAAGCTATCCGGCCCGAGCTGAAGTGCATCCCTTGACAGGTGGTTACAAGCGAAGTGAATACGTCACGCGCACAATTACTGTGTAAAAAGCATTAGCACGAGAACCAGCGCGTGAACCAACACGCGCGCGTACTCCATTCGTTTGCGCTGCACTTTCTGGTTCACAGCGACGTCACACGTCGGTACTCTATACTGGTTCGTAAATGACTTCGTCACAAGGGCGGACGCGCCACGATTTGCAGGCTCTCATTGGACAATCGCTGAAGTTGCGCGTTGACTTACGGTTCCATGGTTCCATGTAAACGACGATCGATACATGTAAATGTGGAAGGGCTGCGTAGTACCGTGTTCAGAATATCGACAAGAATATAATATCAATCAGTGCTCTGAAATATGTGATAGCCGAGCTTTCCGTTACTGAGTGAATTCTGAATTTAGGTACTCAGTTACCGAAAGCTCAGTAGGCCTAATCACATATTTCAGAGCACTGATCAATACACGCAACTCTATGCGCGGAACATGTGCGGTGGGCGTGATTTAAACTGAAGTGACGTCACACTTACGAACCGGATTTATCGCCATTAATATATGTAATACAGACTGGATAGGACATCGCGCATTCTTTAAGGAAAATATGCGCGGCCGAACAATGGCGGCGCTTCAGGAGGGTAATGTGATGCTGTATGCTGTCCATTTCTGGTCAACGTGACCTTTTTCTCATGGGATGATGGCTAAGCCCTCGGCCTCCCTCCCAAAAACAAGACAAAAATAAACAGAAAAAGCAAGAGTATCATTTCCGGAAATAACTGACCATTTTTTAAAAATTATTTAACCCACTCGAAAGCAATATTATTAATCTTGTTTTTGTGTGTGATGGTTTTAATTCATTTTTTTACACCTATTGTCTACGGTCTCATTTTAGCAATATTTTCACTTTGGGTCGGTTCAATCGTGATTTGTTCAGTGTGTAAAACTTTGAGAATTCCACCAGAACATGCAGTATAGGTTTTTTCCGTAAATATGATTTCCAAACTGTCCTTGTGTTTTCCGTCTGGTTTCGATGAGCCAACACTTAAAAAAATAATCAATAAAAATGATTTCAATTTTACACACTCTCAGGAAAATTGTACTAAATAAAATTCATTCACATGTTGAGTAAATTTTATTGAAAAGACAATTTCCATCTCGAAAATTAACTTTTCTGATACAAGTGAATGTCCCATATAAAAAATATGTCATACGGGTTTAAAAACTCCGAATCAAAGTTGAAATTTTAATGAATCATCAATAAAAATTATTGCCAGCTGTTAGTGGATCGTTCCATCTTCACACAGCTAAGAAACAATGGATGTGCACGCCATCGCTGCACAATACTGAATGAGAAGAGTTTGAACGTAGGGGGCGCTTGTCGCAAAATACCCTTCCGTCCCCCTGGACTAATCCAAGTAGAAACCGCGATGGTGGCACTGCACTCACATTCTTCAGCTTGACGCGCGTGTGCAATCGGCAAACCATGACACATTGGTCGAAAAGGCATGTGCGCGTATACCACTTTTCCGCGAGCGTTGTGCCAACGCAGTAATGGCTTCCTAGTGGTTGTCGAATTACCCTATAGAGGATTTTAAGTCACGTGATTTTTGACGGTCAGCATTCATTTTACACAGATGTGCACGGAAACGTGTGCCTCTTCGAAGCTCTAAACTATGGTGTACTATTTACGACAAACATTTCTCCATTTCTCTCTTGCTTCCCTCCAGGCGACGCAACCAGACGACGCGACGGCTCCCTTACGTCCTGCCGTCAGGTCGAACCGTCGCCTTCTTGCCATTTCGTTTGTACACACAGGCCGCGTCGCGTCGTGCGTCGCGTCGTGCTTCAGGCGACGCGATGCACATCGTGCGCTGTCGCCCTTCACGGTGTTTATAGAGGGCGCCTTTACTGTTTTCTTTCATTTCCGTCCTATTTTAGTTCTTGCAAAGTACATGCTATTCGCTCTTTGGTGTTGATTTTTCATTGTTTTTATCATTTATTCGGATTAATTTCTGTCATATTTTATTTTATTGAGCAAAAGAAAATCCGAATATGTAGTAACTGCTCTCTCAAAAAAAGTGGAAACTGCAAGCTCAGAATTCGTCTCTCCTAAATTTCCCAGCCAATGATTTCTTTTGTTTTCTCTCATTTCCGTCAATCACGCTTGCAAAATACATGCCCTGAGCCCTGATTTTTTTTGAGGGGGGTTTGTTTTATCCATTCATCAAATTGAATTAGTTTTTGTCATGTTTTATCGAAAAAAAAATTGAAAAT